ACTTTTTTTTTTAAATTACTGATTTAAATTTAACATTTGACTGAAAAGATGATGCACACTTTTAGAAAAAATGGCTTTATAAAGGTAAAAATGCCCATAAAAGGTAATAATCAATTTAAACTTATTGGAAAAGATAAATTTTTATCACTGCTGTGAACCGATCACCTCTATCTATCTATCTATCTATCTATCTGTCTATCTATCAGCATAGTGTGGAAAGTGCATAGATACATAATCATCGTATTTAATAGTCACTTGTATGTCACTAACTTTTTTATGTCTTGTCTCTAATAGCTATGGCGTTCATTATTGCGATGCTTCTGGCCAGTCTCAACAGCTGCTGTAACCCCTGGATCTACATGTTTTTCGCTGGTCATCTGTTCCAGGATCTCATGCAGCGCTGTCTTATGGCATCACACTGCGGCTGTAAGAGGCAATGGAGATCTAAGAGCCCTTCAGGCATGGGTGCAATGAGGAACACCAGCAGCCAGAAGAGTGTGATGCAGTCCTCTACTACATGAGAGAAAGTTGAAATACATGCAGTTCGTATTACCGTCATGGACAGAACAATAACATACCATAAGCTAAGGAATCATTTCATATGATTTTTACCAGTGTGGTGCAGATCTCAGCTACATTAGCCATGGATAATCTCCGGTCTTCAGCCTAAAATGTGTATCTTTACATAAGCAATGCTTGATCTGTGGCTGTCTTTGATAGAGGAGTTATTTGCTTCCATCTATTCTCCAAACCATTTTTCTTTTTAGGTTCGTGGGAGTCATTTACATGTGTATGCTCAAAGGGACAGTTCACCCAACAATAACTGAATTCTGTTTCAAGTATGTATAAATAAAGGTGGAGGTATTGGATAGATGCTGGATGGAGAATCCTCACAGAAATAAGGTAAGCAGCTGATTGTATGACACTTGTATGAGTTATGATGCTCGTAGCAAATTTTAAAACTCCATCAAATTGTTTGAAATCCGATTCAACAAAGTCAGTTCTAATTTCAGACTTTATATTTTCAGATCAAGCATTCAGGACAACTGTAGCAAATATCTGAAAAAAATAAAGCTTCTGGTCATTTCAGAGTTAACGGGGAGATCAGATAAATACACCGCGATGAAATACAGCATAAAACATGTTGACTATGTCTTAACTTTTGCCAAGCCAGCACCTTTTATCCTAGTATCATATGAAGCTTTGAACCACACTTTACAGTATAAAGTAACAAATATCATAAATTCAGCATTAGTACTTTTTCTTAAGGAGGAACAGTTCACCCAAAAGTGAAAATTGTGTCATACTTTACTCACTTTCATGTTCCAAACCCATCTGATTTTCACGTCATTTGCGGATCACATTTCAATAGGATTAAAGGTTTTGAAGAATTACTTGGTGCTATATTCTTTTGCAGCCATGCACAGGGACTATAGGAGTTACATTAAATAACGGTTTAAATTAAATCTACTGCATGGCTAGAAGACTTTGATTTGCCTATAGTGTTGTACTTGAATGGACTTTTGGTGCTTTCATGAAGCCTGAAACGTGGTAAAACAATATGCAGAGATTAGTTAGAGAAAAAAAGTCATGCTGATTTGGATGTGAGGGTGAGTAAATGATGAGAACATTTTTTTTATTTTTATTTTTTGGTGGCTATTCAGTGGTTTTGATGTTCAGATGTGTTCCTTTACCAGTATTTTGTAGAAATATACTGTAAATAACTAAATATTGTGCACGCAGCAGCTCAATCAGGCTCTGATTCACTTGAAGGTAATCTTATTTATTAAACTTCTTTGTGTTCTAACAAATGTATTTGACTGTGGTTGTAGATATGAATGAACTTGATCGATTGCTGATGGAAAATGTATTTACAGGATATAGCTTTTTTGTAACTGATTTTGAATTTAAACACACACTGACAAAACAATTAATTTCAAATTTCAAACCGGACAGCAGCAGTTTTCTTTATTACCAATGCGAAGATGTGAGCTCACATAAATAAGAGTCAGTTATTCTCAGTATGAATCCAATCATTTATTTTTCAAAAACGGACGAATACTAGCCTACATCTTTCCATTTGTTAAAAAAATTGTGGTTGCCAAATATGCAATTAAAACTGGAATGTGAAACAAAATGAAAATATATCTTAAATAATGTTATGTCCATGAACAGAGAGAATGTACATTTTAATTCTAAATTATAATACAACCACTTCATACAGACTCATCAGTCATATATTCAAAGTCTAAATGGGAACAGAAGCACGATAAAACCTCATTATAACTCTGCAAATGTACAAAATTGTAAATTAAAGGAGTTCCTTCGATGAAAAAGTGCTATTGCTTAATCTAATTAAGCAATATTATAAATGATTTATAATATAGATAATTAGACAAACTCTTCATCCAAATTATAAATCTGTCACCCGTGGTTCTCTATCTCCCGTGTGTTATTTTTAGTTTTGCGATGGACATCCTTTAAGATGTGAGCGGGATGCAGGGCACCAGAGCGGTGAATTATGCCGTTGCCATGAGAGTGGACTGATCGAGGCACTTTTTTAAGGTAGGCTATGTGTGATGCGCAATGGAAACCTCAATCCTTCAGTAAATATTGTTTCATAATTTTAAACTTCCGTATTGCTTTTGTGTAAGGCACTTTCGACTATTTGTCTAATAAACGGCATCTTTATAAATGAAAGTGATATGGTGAATGTGGTGTTATTGAATGTGTGATTGCTGCTTGCGCGTGATTTCCTTTGTAACGCAATCTGTCTTCGTACTGTAAATTAGAGAGGGAATGGATGGATGACAGCAGGGTGAGAATTATGCAGGGTTTGAGGGTATGACGCTGTCTTTTAGGTTTGAATCTCCAGGAAGGCTAAAGAAAAGGCTGGATGTGTTTAAAAAGTAATACTTTATATATAGAGATGTGTTTCAATTGAGCTTTTAAACATTTTGGTCAGTACAAAAGTTAGCCAGCGGGCGTGTGTTCACCTTCGGTAAGACGCTCGGGGAACAGTAATCCGTTCCGCTATAAAAGTAACCGTAGCAACAGCGCTCCAGCTATTTTAGTTACTTAATAGCATTCGCCCCAGAGTGCTTTCCATATTTGTTTTCAGTTTCATTTTTGTTGTCTATTATGCTTCTCACATTTAACTTTTTTTCACATTCGGTAAAAAAAAAACCCGCTCGGGTAAGTTACAGAAATCGCGTTCCTCCAAGTAACCGCAACAGTACAAACAATTTTAGTTAGGATAACCAACATATTAGCAAAACACTATCATTATTGCTTTTGTACTTATATATGGCAAAAAAGTGTCTTGTTTAAAAAGTATTTCAGATTGTTGACAAGCATCTATAGACGTTCACAATTATAAATGTCGGTCGCCCACAAGGTAGCCTAACCATATCAACATCGTTTGAGGACTTTTCATTGTGATCCTCTTCAGAATGGCCAAACATAAACACCATGAATTATAGTTTTATTTCAGTTTAACATATGTCTCATTGATAGGGACTCTAAAAACAATTAGGGTTGCTCGAGACGTCAATCGCTCCCTGAAAAATTATTTAAAAATACCTCTCTGCAAGTCATAGTTTACACACTAACCAGCTAAACATTAGAAATCACCCACAGAGGAGTGAAAACACTATAACACATGAGCACAACCCTCCTGATGTGACTGTAGAAGTCTCTATATAAAAATAGTTTTGAGGTATAAAAAGTAAAATGCCACATATGGCTTAATTTGATGCATTTCAAATGACAGTACTGGTATGAATCAGAAAGATCTAGTAGGCATTAATGTACCGGTAGTAATCATTAGCATCATGAGTTTCTGTAAAGCTGCTTTGAAATAGTGTGAAGTATGGAAATAAAAATTGAAATGTTTATTTTGTTATATAAATTTTTTTTTACACAAAATCTGACAATATGTAAGCCTACATTTGCCACAGTTTACATTTGAGAGTGATTTCAATTTCAATATTTGTTTCCAGTTTTATTTAATTGTAGTCTATTATGCTGCTCAAACTCTGCTTTTTTTATGCAATAATGTTTGTCAACCAGTCTCAGGTTTAGGTTAAATAATCCTGCAAAGGGTTTTCTTGCGGTAAGGTGGCCACAGAGATGGAGAGTCCTTCTAAGATTGAGAGGCGCCAGGCGTGGGCAAGCAGCCGCCGCAAGTTTACCGTAAGAGATGCAGAACACCGCAGCCCAACAGCAGAACATCAGCCTCATTTCTCTCTCCAAGATGATGTCTTTGTGGATGGTGAGCATCAGGTTAATGTTTAACGTCCAGCTGTGTCAACATGTTGATAATATGGAAAGAAGCTGCATATCTCATTTCCTCTTAAGCACGTGAATTGAAGCTAGTACATAATGCAACCAGGATCATTTATTGCTTCAATTTTAAATTAAATTTTTTTTGTAAGTCGATTTGGATAAAAGCTTCTGCTAAATGACTAAATGTAAATGTTTTAGCTCAATATTTTTTTTTTCATTTGGGAAATATTTAGCTTGAAAGCTGCACTTGTGTAATCTTTATTTAAATAACGCCACTTGGCTTCATACTATGTTATCTGTTAGAATGACATTCATGCATTTTTAAGAATCCAAATACTTTCTGGGACCGTTGTATGGTTTATTTAGTATATTTGTTTTAAGCAAAACACAGTCAGATAAAAATATGTTGGACAATAGATTGGGATAAAATAAAATAATAAAATAAAATTGTATTACAGCTTAATCAGGCCACCTTATTATAACTGCCACTGTAAGAGATAAATGGCAGACCACAAACAGTACACGGTTACCAGCAGATAAACTTTATTTCCAAAGCAGAACGCTCATTTACACCTCTCTCTCTTTATCACTCACACACACCCATTCTCAAATAGACAGGCTAAGATCACTTTGTGCGTCTTTATTTTGTTTCCACAGGATGCTCTGCTGGAAAGATTGAAACCTGGCTTCAAGGTTGTGGGTGAGTGTTTGTGTGAATGCTTTCTATAAAAGACAGGCATTGTGTGTCAGTTGTAATACAATGACAGCAAGTGAGTGGAAAACCACAAATGTTCTTGGGCTTATTTGTTGAAGGTCATGCAGGTTAAAAACACATCAATCTCTGAGGGTCAAGGACCATGTTTTGCTCTATTTACAGATTGTGCTGAGGAAGATTCTGTTTTCAAATTTTCCCTTTCTGGATCAGGAAATAGCAGACAAAACTTGACATTTTTGTTATTGTTTCTCACCGTTCAGGCTTTGCAAGTTCCTACAACTGCTAGAGAAGGCAAAAAGAAAGTGTTTTCAAATGAATTTCAAAAATCAAAAGCATGTTTAACATTTAGGTAATTAACTTTTAGAAATTATTTTTTTGTAAATATACTCTGCAAAGCTTGTAAATTAAATTTCTAATCACATTCATAGCAGCAGTAGTCCGAACAAAATCAGCAATGCTTTTTAAACATTTGTTTAATAAGGGCTACTGCTACATACTGCCACAAAAATTGAAAGATGTGCTGTGTCCGTCTCTATTTTTATCGCAGTATTTTACTGCATGCCCACATCCCGCCCACAGACCTCTGCTGATTCACTCTTGATAAAAGTGAATTTTTAATTTATTTTCCCTTTCTTCTCTTCATCTTATCTGTAGGAATGAAGCCACTCCTGCCAAAAGCA